TGCCCCTCCCTCCAATGTCCGTTATCTCTTACTCCAATAACATCTCTGACTTTCAGGTGGCATTCTCTTTACTCTTAAACTTTCAATACAACATGCCACTCCCTGACCTTAACCTCCCACTTCATCATTTCTTTTCCTTAATCCTAGCACAAATGTTTTCTGATTTTAGTAAAACCTCCAGTTCCCTGGCATGCCCATTTCCTTTCAATTTTCAGTCAACATCATCCTTTTTTGTCTTTTTTTTTTTTTTTTCCTGGGCACAAGCTCAGAGTATATTTTTTCTATTTTCCTTGCAGCTAGGTGAGCCCAAACCACTAAGTTCTGTTCAACGAAATGGAAATGATGTGTGCCACTTATGGACTGGTTCTTAAAAACCTCCCTTGACCAGGCTTCTGTCTCTTTCCCACCTGCTGGAAAAATGAAATTTGCAGGTTCTATGCAGGAGAAAGCGGAGAAGGGATATTTTGGAATCTCTGTAATTCCAAAACCCAGTCTGTTACTGACCATGTGAAGCCAGGTATCTCCCTGCCTCTTGATGACCTTCATTGAATTTTTATAGCAGGGTGAATTAAATTTGTATTATGCTAACCTACTGAAATCCTGAGGTTGTTTGTTACCTGGTTAATCTATCCTGATTAATACATCAACTAAAGCTACTCATGTGAGATTACACAGTCCTTTACCTCAACCTGTCTCTCTTAAAAACTCTAACTCATCTTCTCTCTCGACTTTCCATGCTGCCTCCCTAGAAAAACCCCAGCTCAGAATATCAATTCATTTGTCTGTGTCCTCAGCTTTATGCCATCTTCCAACTGTAGAGCAGAAGAGCAATTTACAAGGCCAAGAGAATTCATGCTGTCACTGGACCCTCAGATAGTCCCTAACCTGCACAGGACCTTCCACAGTCCAACTATTTGACAACTTCCTTCAAGTTCCTTGAGCTCTTAGAAACATCTAACTATTGACTATTCCCTCCTTGAAATATTCTCTCCCTTTAGCTTTTGTTCTACCACTCTCCAAGTTTTCCTACCTCTCTCATCACTTCTTAAATGCCTTTTCAGTTCCCCATTCAGTTCCAGTTCTTTCTCCATCATGCTTTAAGTCTTATATTCCTTTCTATGTTCTCGTCCTTTGGAGGAGGTCTCATGTACTCCTATGGCTTCAGCTACCATGTATTTATTGACAACAGTGAAAGTTATGTCTGTAGTGTGCATGAGTCCTGAACCTCAAACCCCAATGATATCTCCAATAAGCACAAACATATTCAAAATTGAAATCAGCACCTTCTTTATTTTATTTTATTTTATTTTATTTTATTTTATTTTATTTTGAGACAGAGTCTTGCTCTATCGCCCAGGCTGGAGTGCAGCAGTGTGATCTCAGCTCACTGCAACCTCTGCCTACCGGGTTCAAGTGATTCTCCTGCCTCAGCCTCCAGAGAACCTTGGATTACAGGCGCTCGCCACCATGCCTGGCTAATTTTTGTATTTTAAGTAGAGATGGGGTTTCACCATGTTGGCCAGGATGGTCTCAATCTCTTGACCTCGTGATCCACCTGCCTCAGCCTCCCAAAGTGCTGGGATTACAAGCATGAGCCACCGCGCCCGGCCCTAAATCAGCACCTTCTGCTCTCATCTCCCCTGACACCTGCTCCTCCTTCTCCTGTATTCCCTTTGTCAGTACATGCCCTTAGCCATAAGCCTAGAAGGATGACTTAACCCCCTGAGAACTCTTTATAACCCTTCCAATTCTATCCTCTGAATATATTTTGAATCTGTTCCTTCTGCTAAATACTACCAGCAACCAATGTTTTTCTCACCTGAATAAAAGCATCCTCACCAATTCCCATATCTCTAGTTTGTCTCCTTCAATCTATTCCATTACAGACCTTTCTAATATAAAAATCAGTTGAGTTCCCTTCCCTATTGGAAATCCTTCCATGACTCTCCAATACCTTTGGAAGAAAGAGTTCTCTGTCTCTTCTGGACTTAAACACTTTTATCCAACTTCCCACAGGACGTTTTTACTTCAAATTCCCACGGTGACTCATACTCAGAAAGCTGCCTTTCCTGACTTTGGATACCAATCTGACCTTTTCGCTATGCTCTTTTCTCCGTGAAGAGCAGCACCATCTTACTTGTACCAAAATCATAAATCTTGATGGCATTGAAGACAACCTCCAGCCTTCTCTCCAACATCCCATTCATCACAGATTTTTTGGATTCTTCCTACTTAACTCTTGAATTCATCAGCTTTTCCTCAAATTCAGTGCAAACACCCAAGCCCGGATCACCACAATTTTTCATCCACATCAGCCTTCTAACTAATCTCCTTTTTCCAGTCTTGTCTCGCCTTCAAAGCCTTTCTCTACAAATGTTAATATGATTGTGCTTAAAATCTTACTATAATTCTATACTGCTTTAAGCAACACAAAAAATAGCTTTAATGGGGCTTACGTCCTAATGAAGGAAGACAAAAAATAATAGATAAATAAATAAGATTGTTTCGAATAATAAAATGTAATCGATAGTGAAAGACATGGGGAAGGGAGGGTGACTTTAAATCAGGTGACCAAGGCTGGTCTCTTGAAGAAGTGATGTTTCAGTAAGACCTGAAGGGTCAAAAGTAACTAGCCTTGGAAAAGGAAGTGGACTTCAGTTTGCTTACTTACCATCATCCCCGGTGGGCTGTGGGCTTCCTGAGGGTGAGGCCCGCGACTGATGTATCATCATGCTTCTCTAAACACCCACCACAGATTTGGGCACAGATAGGTTTTGAATACATGAGTGGAAGGATGAATGAAAGTTAAATTTAAAATTTTGAGCAGTTCAGCTTTCGGTAAATTATGTGCTCACATTTTTTTGTACATTTGCTGACATTGACTCGTGAAACCATTAACATTTCTAGGCAGACATAAACAAATTGAATTTAGACTTTAAAGGGGAGTTTTGTCTTTTTCGAATCCTTCTAAAATATTTCAGAACAGATGCTGCACAACAATCTCCTACAACCAGGAGCCCTACGAGGACAGCAGCATGGATGAATCACTTCCTAGGACGCTGCAGAGTGTTTCAGCCCTACCAACCATAAAAGCCAGCATCAGTCGAAAGGTTGGGCCCCAAAACTCCCTAGAGTTGAGCCTCTTAATAGGCAAAACTGTTTTCATATAAACCCCAATCAATATCATCTGCTGAGATTCACAAAGAAAAAATTTCAAGTCATTATGGTTTATTTCTGTTAAGTAGAAACTACTAAGGATCCTTTAAATATATCGAATCATGTATATATTATTGGATTTGATTCTGGAAAATAATATATTCTAGTTCATAATCCCTTGCTTGCAAATTACATTTTTTTTTTCTTAGCAAATTTGGCAGCAAAAGCTGATCTGATGTGAGAGGATTTATCTCTTATTTAAAAGTTTACTTGGTGTGACTATTCCTTTGTTTCACTGCAGAAATAGAATATGTTTCATTATAGGATGCTGTCTCTAACTCCACAAAATGTAGGGTGATATATGATATAGTTAATAAACTCCAAAAAATTCTGACCTTCAAGGCATCCTTTGCCCCAGAAGTTCTGGATAAGGAATCTATATTCCATGATAACACTGACCCAATTCTATTATCTTGAGATGTAATACTTCTATAATGTGTGAGCTTTGAAGTAGCCAGCAAAAGTAAAGTCACAGAAACACAATTAGCATGATTTGAGTATTTGGAAGTAATATAACTGAAAGCTGTTCCAAATTTCCTCTGATTTAAAGTATGCATATATGCCATTATACTATTGCTTTTCCTATATGTACATACTTCTACGAGCTAAGCGATCCTTCTGACTATGAGGAAACTTTTATAGGTAAATCCTTTATATCATATCCAACCACAATCTGGGCACTGCAGGCATCAGAAAAATTTCCAAAGCTTCTAATTTTCCCAAGTGTTTTATTGTTCTCATTTTATAAATTTTATAATTTTCTTGTACTTAAACTTTTTCTCCCAAGAGTTTGAAGAAACAGCACCTAACCTCCGGGAGTAATGTTTCTATTCTTTACAGGGCACATATCTGGTACTGGGCTGCAAACCTCATTACGTATATAATTTCTGAATCCCACCGTCATCCCGAGAGATATTTTCTATTCCTCCCATCACATGGCTGAGCAAACTCAGGCACAATTTGTCCTAGGCCACATGGCTCCTAAGTGACAGAACAGAATTTGAACCCAGGAATGTCTAGGTCCAAAACCTGTGTCTTCCCAAAATATCATGGGGCGAATAATTGACCTGTGCTCCAATCTCATTCTCAAATTGTGCAGAGTTGGAAGAATAAGCCTGCTTTATTCATGGTAGAAATTAGAGTTTAATTTTTTTTTCTAAATGCCTATAAAAGAAGACACTTTTCACACTTCCATAAAAGAAGACACAGTATCTGGTTTTCAAAGATTTAACTCTATAGCCATATAAAATGTCCATCAACATAACTTTGTTTTTCTGTTTTTTAAAAATAAATGCAAGTAATTGGAATTGGGTAGGCTTATCAACAAACACAGCAAAATCAGATATTCAATATTTACCCACCTTTTAGAAGTATCATCTACATTTATTGGAAATATTTTCATACAAGGGGAAGAGAAAGGCTTACACCTCATAACAACATAGCATAAAAGGACAGAGATGAAGATCATTAATGATTTTAATTATTTTAAGGCCCATTAAAATTAGAGAAATATCAAAGCACCCACAGTGTTAAGGGTTTATTATTATAGCATTTTAGAGTTTACTAGTTCATACCTTTCAATCACAGCAAGTTATTAGCAGTGAAGGGATGAACCCCCTTAAGAGGATTTTTATTTCAATGATAGGGTGTTATGGACAAGACAACCTAAGTTTTAAAAAAAATTAGTAGCAAGCGCTAGTTGAGTTAATCAGTTAAAGACAAACTGTGCCCTTGGGAAGCTAAATGAAAAAGCAACAGTAAAGCTTACAGAACTTAGCTCGTACAATTTGCCTTGAAGGCGGAAGATTGGTTCCCTGAAATAGCAAAGAATTATATGCTTTAGTTCAGAAAAAAAGTTTTTAAAATAAAGTCTGTTATTACCTCTTCTCCTTTCAAAACAATGAGAAAAAAATCTAGAGCAGAGGTTTCAATTTGTTCAATAATTGTACCTCTGAACGTTTTTTAAAAACTATAACACCATCATTGTTTTGACTTGAAAAGAAATAACAATGCAAATACTCATTATCACATAAAACATAAAAGACACAGCAAACTGTCGAGTTAATACAATCTCTGCAAAGCGCTATTAGTCAGAGACAGCTGGTCAGCCCAAAACACAAAAACTCAAAAGATCACATCTTCTTAGGAATTAACATCTTCATTAACCAACAAGAATTTAGTGTGGCAGAGATTAAATCCAACAACTGCCTTCTTCATGAGCTGTCCCTTCACTGATACCAAGCTGTGCAAATGTGTGAACTAGTTAGCAATCCCAGAAAGCTCATGCAACTACTCACCATATTTTAACCTTCAACTGACTCACAAACTCCATGTTAAATTAAACTTAGGGGTAATGTAAGCAAGCAAAATAGGACACGAGGAGTCAAATTTGAAATGCAGAGCAAGTAGCAGAAAAGTTATTTAAAATAAATCAATGTGGTTAACTGCATAAAATAGCCAAAAAGAAATGCAATTCGCTCCAAAAATTTTTTAAAGCAAAAACAAATCAAAATGAAAAGCTGCATTTCAAGCAAAATTGGCACGTGATTAATTTGCATTAAAAAAATAGTCAATCAAGCGATTTAGTTCAAATTCTTTGGGACATGCATAGACTGATGCTCTTATGCAATTCCTACCTGATTTCCAATTGTGGTTTTCTTGTGAACCTGACTGCTCCTCTGCTGAGCACTGAGAAAAGCAAAGGAAAGCAGCACTGAAGAGACACATACAATTTTTTTCCTGAACAAGTAACAAATACTAAAATATATACAGGCTTTAAAAAAAAAATCAATGGAGGCAGACGTAATACCAAAATTCCAGGTCAGTTTAATTCTGGAAGCAAAACCAACTCAATGGGACTCCTAATAGCACATAACTCCTAATAGCACATAAACCAAAAATATAACAACACCATTGAAAGACAAGCTGCATTGCAGCATTAATAACATATGAGTTGACATATTTGCAATGTCCCACAGGTAGAGAGAAGAGTTGTAATGGAAATTAAGTTAATGCTTATTGAGTATATACCATGTTCTAAGTGCCTTATAGATATTAATCATTTTTATTCTCACTGCAACCCCATGAAGTAGTTACGATTATTCTTCTTGTTTTATAGATGAGGAGAGAAGCTAAGTGACTTTCCCAAAGTCACTCAGCTAATCAGCGGTAGTACCCAAGTAGTATGGCTCCACATCACAAACTCTTTGTGATATTATCCAGTCTCACTGCTTTGAATTCCAAGATATTCTGACAACTCCTTTAATGCATCTCTCGTTTGAATCTGCCATGTAGATCCAAACATGTATGAGTCCCAACCCTGGACTTATTCATGTTTTTAACAACTTAACATCGTCACTTGGGTATTTAATGGGCATATCATTCTTAATATTTCAAAACTGAACTCCTGAAATCCCCCCTAAAATCCGTTTAACCCACAGTCTTCCTTCCTCCTCTTAACTAGTGGCAATTCTATACCATACGTCCAAGAGCTTAGGCCAAAATCTTTATCTCCTCTTTCTCTCACAACCCATATCCGGCCATCAGAAAATGCTGTCGACTACTTTCTTACAATACATTTAACATTTAGCCATCTTTTCATCACTTCCATTGGTCCCTCCTTGGTCCAAGACACTGCCATCCCTCATCTGGATTACTGTAATCATTTATTCTCTGGTCTCTGCTGCCACACTTGTCTCCCTGAAGTCTATTCTTCACAGACACCAGAGTGATACTTGTAGAAGGACTGTGTCACTCTTCTGCTCGAAACCCTGTGCTGCATCAACACCATTCCACAAATGGTAAAAGCCAAAGTCCATACAAGGGTCTACAAGGCCCTACTCAAGCAATCCCCACCACTGGCTCTTTGACTCGTCTCCTCCCACCCTTCACCTCGTTCCCTGAAGAGTTCCAGCCACACTGGCACCGGCTCTTTTTCAAACCCATCCACTACACTCCCATTTAGAGCCTTCAGGAAAGCTAGCTCCCTAGGATTTGCTTCCCCCTTTCATCTGCATGGTTCCCAACATCTCCTTCAAGTCTTCATTCAAATCCATCTTTTCAGTAAGGACTACTCTGACCACCCTATTTATAACCCCATCCCTCCCTGCCTCCAAGACTGTCATCCCCTTTACCCTGTTTGATTTTTCTGTCTGGCATTTCTCACTTTCCAACATACTACACGGTGTATTTATTTATTTATTTTGAGATGGGGTCTCGCTCTGTCGCCCAGGCTGGAGTGCAGTGGCGCGATCTCAGCTCACTGTAAGCTCCGCCTCCCGGGTTCACGCCATTCTCCTGCCTCAGCCTCCAGAGTAGCTGGGACTACAGGGGTCCGCCACCTCGCCCGGCTAATTTTTTTGCATTTTTAGTAGAGACGGGGGTTTCACCGAGTTAGCCGGGATGGTCTCAGTACACTACACGGTGTATTTATTTTTTGTGTTTCTCTGCCCCTTCCCATTAGATTGTAAGCTCCTCATGAGCAGGGGTTTGTGTCTGTTTTGTTCACTGCTATATCCCCAGGGCCTAGAAAGGACATAGCACAGGTTTGGTTTCATGAAATCTCTGTTGGATGAAAAGTCCAATGAGGTTGATGCCATTATAACCCTCATTTTAGACATAAGCACAGAGAGAAGAGTTGTAATGCAAATTAAGTTAATGCTTAATTTACAGGACTCCAACAACTTAACAACAGAGCCCACACATTTCATCACTAGGTTACTCTATCCCTCAAAAGGACAAAGGCTTTCTTTTGGTGGATCCATGAATAAACATCTATCAATATAAGAAACACAACTCATTTTGGTTATTCTGGGAAGATCAGCAATACTCAGTATTCTTAACAGGTTGTTTAATAGTTTGTGGAAGCTGTTTTGGAGATCAATGAAATAGTGTAAAATAAAGAAAAGGGAGACCAAAGCCCTCAGTCAACTGTTTAAAGTGATGGGATGTTGTGCTGCAGTAACAAGTTAGAAATCAACACCACACTTGGAACAGCTGATCCAAATAAGTTTTTAATAAACTCCTCTGATACATTTAAGTTGCTTTCCTTCACTCAACCTAATGAAGAAACACTGCATTCAACTGAAGGTGGGCAGGGGGTGGGTGGTGAAAGTCCACACTGTATTTGGTTGCTAAAAATATTTTGTGTATGTATTTTTTTCCAATTTTAAATTTTCTAATTTCAACTTCTTCCTTCCTTTTTTTTTTCTAGCTTTCTGTTAAATGATTAATCCTCTTAATTACCATGAAATTATTTCCTCTTTAACCATTTATCTGAACAATCTAAATTTACATTATTCAGGTCTTGTAGGTGAGGCTGTGAAAGAGGTGACCAGGATCCAGTGTGCCCACACCGCCCTCTGGCCGCCCTCATGCCCTGGCACACAGAGCATCTTGAGTAGCACTCTCCTAAGTGCTTCGGATCTCCTCCTTACTTTCTTTTTCCACATTAAATGTCACTTTTCCAGCACCCTCCAGGATTCCTGCTCTTCCAGGAATGCATGGGAAAACTACTACTATAATGAGATCATGACACCTTCATAGGTTATGTTTATCTCTTCCAAGCACCATAATTGTGTTTAAGGAGTAATGTTTTCACTAAAGCACTGACTAGTGGTGAAAACCTCCAAACTGTGATAGACCCACAGGTGCTTACTTTGAACAAATTATTGGGGACCCTAAAATTATGTATCAGTCACCTTCAAATCACTTAAGGGAAAAGAAGTTGAACATAAAGCAAAAGCCACAAAGATCGTTAATGACTCCTTTGCTACCTTAGGTGAAAAGTCTGATCAAAATGGACTTCAGTCACTTGGCCATAAAATGTGTATATATGTGTTACAAGGGAGGCAGACAGAAATGGAGACAGAGAGAAGGGCTAGGGTACTAAACAAGCTGTTTCTTAAGTTCCTTTTAGGTCCAATATTCCTTGAGATGCAAAATTACTCTCAGAAGCTTATAAGCTACACTAGACAAAGACAATGTCCATTGACAGTTTCCATCTGTGAAATAATGCATATTTAGGATCTACCACTTGTAAGAATATGCCAAAGGAAAGGTAGATTTACTTTATAAGCCAATCTCAAATATTAGAGTTAGAAAAAACATGAAGTTGCCTCTATTTTCCACCTAAAGAATAATCTTTTTGCAGCAATTGGCCCCATAAACTTAAACATTCTGTTGTTAATGATGTATTTAGCTACTTGAAGTCACTTCAAAAGCAATGAAATAAAAAAAAAATAAGCTGCCTGCTTAGAATACATTCTTTCTCATAATTCTTCTGTTTATTAATTGAACTGAGAGTATTTTAAAACATTTATTTAAAAATATGTTCCTGAAAAAACCTGTAAGGACTTGCAAATTAACTTGAGCCCTTGGACATGTTCTTGGATATAGTTACTTGACCAATTAACTCTGAAATATTATAAAACATACCTATGTATAGTGTTTTAGTTCAACATAAATCAAAAACTGTAGGGCACGAACTCTGTAGCAGATAAAAATATAAATAAGGTATGGTTCTTGTAATCAAAAGCCTACAATTTGTCTGGTACAAGTAATGATATGCATACACAGAACAAGAATAACAAATAAAAAATAAAATCTATATTAATAAATATATGAGGATGTAATAGAAAGCAAAAAAGTGCTTCTGTTTTAAATGTGGGATATAATTACCCATATCTTCTTATATGTGTGTGTGTGCACGCACATTTGTTGTTGATCATATAAATTCCTACTGCACACAAGTCACTATGGAAAGCCTTGCCAGAACACTAAAACGCAGAACCAAATTTGTGTGTGCTGAGACATAATGATTCTAAAAGTATATAACAAGAAGTTTAAACTTTTATAAAAATAAAAGTACATTAGAAGACAATCAGAGAACCCCTAATGTTATCTCTTGGCTCAAAACTTTTTTGCACAGTCTCTTCTATCCTTGTCTATGATGTGTGACCATGTAACAAATAAATCCTATACCAAAGTAATTTATCTGAATGTTAAGGGACAAGAAATATAATTTCAGATGACATGATCTGAAATGTTTGCAGCAAACTTGAAAAGAAGATAAACTTTAATAAAGGAAGACAAATGACTACGTTCCAAGAGAAGAGACTGGTGTTAGCAAAGCCAGGAGGTAGAAAGATGAGGCATATAGGGAAGTTGTGGAGAGTAAAACTATTATGGTAGAATTATCCAATCATAGACTGGGGTTTGTAAGTGATCTTAAAAGCCATCTAGTACAATAATTGTATGTTGGGGCCAATTATGGAGAATTTGGCTGTTACTCTGAAGGCGGAAGAAAACATTCAATGTTTCTGTGCCAGCAAATGACAAGATCGGGGAGATGTTTTAGTACAAATTAATTCCCTGAAATGCATAATATTGACTCAAGCAGAGAAGATAGGAAGCAGCCAGCCCAGACCCCTCTCTCTGACTAGTCCAGTCTTAAAAGTCCAATCACCTTTCATGTCTGAATTATGCCTTTTTAGAAACCTCCAGTTATCTCTCCTTTTGATGCACTCTCAAAGCCTTGGTCTGTGCCTGTATTTTATAAACAAGATTGTGTTATAGTTGGGTCTCCAACAATTCCTGCTCCTTGAGAGCCAAGAGCATTAATCTTGGTATTTCTACCTCTCTCACCACTGACATTACCTAGCAGAGGGTTTATGGTAGTATCTTAAGAA